GAAATGGAGCCAATATTAGAAAATGAGATTAAAGCAATTTGGCAATGGTACTAATTCACGATAATGAACCAATATATATATATATATATATATATATATATATATAATATTAGCATATATCTATTACCTATATTGAGCTAATCATCATTATAAAAATGGGCCAATATTTCTGAATAATATGTTACCAATTTAGAAAAATTAGGAGTTTGCCACAATGGCCCAATACTGTTTTTCAAGATTGGCCTTACATGCATTACCATGTTGATTGGTCATAAATTTAAAAACTGGAGCAACATAGTGCAACAATATTAGGTCTATTTGGTACCACGTCTTTTTATTATATTGAACCAACGAATTTGTTCCAATATTGGTGATATATTGAATAATAAACATTATTCCAGTACCCATCCAAATATTGGGGAAATATAAATAGGGTATATTCATCCAAAATACCTGGGTTCTATAAAAACAAAAAAAAAGTTTTCGGACTGTTTTTATTATAGTAATAACATATTAAACAGGAAGAAACTAACAATGCAGTTTAGACGATAACTTTTCAGTTCTAGATATGTCAGATTAATGACAAATAATATCCGAACTGTTTTGTTTATGGTTATTTTATATTATAGTAAGACCTACTATAACAATACACAAGATATTTAACATAAAGATCATGCAGCAAAATACTACCTTACTAACGCTGTTTAAAGAACATAAAAATAAGCTAAATACGAGTAGTAAATACAGATCTTTGATTGAAGAAGTATATAGCTTTTCTTTTACTAGGTATCCGAAGGTAACATGAGCTTCTAACAACATTTTAGTTAAACAATAACTACTATAGATCATGCATCATTGAAACTGCAACAAATGAATTCTGGTTTGTCGTATCTAGTAAATGAAATACAATACATTTTGAAATTACGTCATTTAAACTAGCACTAAATTTATAAGTACTCAAATGACTAATTGTAAAAATATTTACAACTGAAGACTGAATTGGAGAAACAAAGAAATTTTCAGTAACAGAAAATATGGAACCTTTCAAATCATATTCACCGTTGGAATTTTCACAAATTTGTGAAATTTCCATAACTTTGTTCGTTTTCAAAAGGACATACGAATCACGACGAAATTTTGTAGATATTAACTGATTTTTAAAATAAATTGCTGCTATTCCCTGAGAAGATATATTAATTATATGTTTCTGATTACCAACAACTTGCCTCTGTTCCATTAATCGTTTGTAAACTTGTGCCAGTGGTTTATTTCTTGTGCGCAGCATAGATTTAATTTGACCCAGGTAATTTTCAAATGAAAAACAATTGAAATCATTAACACTATACTCGTTGCGAACTGCTTCTTGAACGAGATGGTAAAGGCAATGCGTGTTATATACAGGCTCTAAATTTGGGTACAACTTTTCAGATTCGATGATACATTTTTCTATAAGTTTTAGTGCTATTTTCCCTAGATTATTCGAATATATACCACCACAAACAATCCTCATAGCAGCATGAAAACAAAGGAAATGTCTATATTTATCTGAAGGTAACAAATTTTTTAATACAATAGGTCCCGTGTAAAGTAGAAAGCTTCTAAACTCCGTTGCTTTCCACATATCAACCTCTAGAAAAGACCTTGATTTTCTATTGAACTCTACTGGAAAATTAGAAGCTGGCTTCTGTTCTGAGGCTTAGTGAAATACAACACTTCCAGCTGGGCTTAAACCAATATTGTATTAACCTGCGCATTGTGCCTAAACACGACATGTGCATGTAGTCTAAAATGAAGCCAGATACCATACCAAAGTGTGGTATCTTTGTTAAAGGAGAGAGTCCCTTGTGATGTTCTTTATGAACTTGGTTAAGAAATCCCTCATCTGTACGAATTTCAATATTTGAGTTACACGGGTACAAAATTCTATTTTGCATTCTTAGCCCTTTTACGTTGCATTTTTCACAAGCGAAATAAGAGTTGTGAGGTTTTATATTTTTCAAAAAAGATCGGGCAGGTGCATCACAAATCATATACTTTAAAGAAACTGTAATTTTGACTCCTTGATATACAAAACCTGTAGATGAAAGTGAGTTTATTTTTTCTGTAATAAAATTATCTAAAAACTGATTTAAAGAACCTGGTTTATTATTTCCTTCAAAAATGGCAACGGCAAAAGGGCTAATCTTCTGTTCTTTTTAAAGATGGGTAAACCATCGATGTTGCAAATTAATTCAATATGTGTGGTTGTTTAATATCACAGAAGCTATTATTTTATTATTTACTAATTGATGACGAATTCCATTTTCAATCCCAAAATAACAAAATTTACCACGAGAATTATCTGCAGATTGCATTGGAGTATAGTTTAACTTTCGCACAGTTTTAAGTAAGGTCTTGCTACTTTTTGGCAACTCTGGATGAAATGATTTTAAAACTGACAATAAGGACGATAATTGTTTGTGATTCACGTTCGTAGTGATAGCCCAAAGTTTAAGCTGTTCTGTTAGAGAGAGTTGTTTTGCAGGCGTAGTTGGATAGTTTAAAGCAAGAGTTTTCGGAGAATTTGAAGTAAATGATAATCCAGAGGGAGAATTGTTACATAAATCCATTCCAATATCGTTTTCCAAAGTTTCTGTTTGTAATAAAGTAGTGCGTATTAATGATGATGAGGAAGGTGCATTTAATAGTACATTATTTTCTAATTCATTACGATTGTAAATCGGAAGTTTAAAATTAACTGCGGAACCTACTTCCATCAAAGATCTTTTTACGAACATTGACCTTCGACATCTTCTAGACATATTAATAAGTAAAATATTAAGCTACTATATACATAAACATAAATAGGAGTTTAGACTAATTTTTGGGTTTACTTTTACTCCGTTGTTCCAGATGCTTCCACTGATTTACTACCTCGCAATTTTCTACCACCATCGCGATCCGGTGCAGTCGCCAACGATAAACTTATGCTGCGATTAATTATATCTTCCGGCGTAGTTGGGAACAACACACGAACACTTTCTGTAAACAAAATCAATTACCTAAAATATTTCACCTGTTGTTTTTAGAGTTTTGAATCTAGTTTAGTAAAACTTTTTGCTAATAATTGAATTAATAATTGCAATAAAACGCAATTTATAGTTTTCCTAATGAAATAATTTTCTAATTAGGAATCTTAATTCGTAAATATATAGTGTTTAAATAACCTATGTGGCTCAATTTTTAACCAATAGGTACCAAAATCTGCGTATATGTACAACTTGTTCTTGAGAAAATTGGTTTGGTAGCTATTCCATTATTAACAAAAAAATGAGTTGACATGCTTTTTATTCCTGCCAGGTATTAACAAGTGGGACACACAAGTTGTGCCATAACTTCATTTAAAATGAAAAATTTGTTCAATATTTTCAAAACTGATAAGAAGATCTAATAGTTTAGTAAAACTTTTGTATAAAATACATTCATATTGATTAGATAAAATATCAAACTTTGTGGTGCAACGTCATCAACTTTATTTAAAACTATATATAATGTATAGTTCGATTTCATATAAAATCTTCATCAGTAGGTATAGATAAACTTTGAACGTGTACAAAACTAGAAACATCCATAATAATGATTACAGTTATTGAATCATAGACACTAGGTCAGTTAAATTTTTTTTAATATTATAAACTGTGAATAAATCATCTACATATATCCTTCCTAATGTTACTAAATACTAAATTACTATTAATTTATTATTAATGATTTACGACAATTTTAAAATTTCTCAATGGTAACGGTTTTCAATCTAAAAATGTGTTATTATAAAATCAAATCGTTCTTTCAATTTCATTGTGTGTATAGCAAAGGCTAAAACATATCGAAAAGTGGAATTTTTATTACTGCTAGAGTTATTTTCTGAATTTGCTTTATTTAAGGTGATTTGTTTTCTTATATCATAACGTAACAAAGGATTTTGAGTAACTGTTATTAGTAACAATTCAAGTAATTTCTGCCACTGTTCAAAACCTACATTTATTAAATGATCGCTCGAACAAAAATTTATTATCATCTATTTTGTTAAGAATTACTTTGTGGAACTCCATATCTGATTCAAGACTGAACAAATACAATAATTCCACTAGAAAATATTTTATTTTTGTTGACGCGTTTCGACAAATTTATGTCATTATCAAAATTGATTGATGTTTTGATAATGACATAAATTTGTCGAAACGTGTCAACAAAAATAAAATATTTTCCAGTGGAATTATTGTATTTATTCAGTTTTGATTCAAAAATTTATTAGTGTTGGCAAGCGAAGCTCCTTAAGAAATGTATACAAGTTTTAAAAATGATCAACAAAAGCACTTTAACAACACGTTTAATACAGGCCTTACATGGGCAAAACATGTTGACCATGTGGTGAAGAAATTAAGTAGTGCATATTATGTTATGTTGAAACTAATTCATATACTCGATAGAAGTGTATCATGCAATAGTATTTCCCTATATTACGTTTAATGTCATAGCTTGGGGGAATTCCTCCGAAATATCTAGACTGTTTCTAGCTCAAAAAAGGATCGTTCGCCTTATGTTTAGTCTTAAGCCACTAAAATATTGTAAGTCTACATTCAAAAACCATAAATTTTTAACATTTCCATCTGTGTACGTTTATAAATTATGTTTATTTGTATACAATAATATGCACCACTTCGAGAAACTCAGCTCCTACCACACTTACTCTACAAGAAAGGGTGCATCTCTGTCTTTTCCCAAACATAACTCGGCGAATTACGAAAGAAAGCCCCGCATATAATGGCATTAGGGTATACAATGCGTTGCCTCTCAATATATCAACGGAAAAATCACCGCATCTGTTTAAAAAAAAACTGAAAGCATTTCTACTAGAGAAAGCACTGTATAAAGTAAACGACTTGTATGTTCGTTAGTTAACTTACGTGTTTTTTTTTTTTTTTTTTTTTTTTTAGGGTTCAACTACTAAGGTCATATCCCCTTTAATTCACTAAGCATATTATATATCAGCGTATATATTAATCATTTTCAAAAATCTCACCATCTTCATTGCATTTTCAGGGTTTATAAAATTGTCGATGTAGTTGGGCAGTATACCGTTTATCAATCGCTCGTTATTGTATAGTGGGCAATGGCTTATAATATGAGTAACCGTGATGGCCGTATTGCAGTGATTACATTGTCGTGGTACAGTATTCTTTAGCAGATGTTCGTGTGTGACCTTAGTGTGTCCTATCCTCAGACGGTGCATTTTCACGTTGTCCTCTCTCGAAGCATCTTGTAGCGTGTATAGTGTCGTTGGAATAGGTTTTATCTGCGACAGGTGAGTATTTACCTGTGCCCATTTTTCTTGCCATTCTGCAACATATTGCTCTTTTAGGTGTCTTCTGATGTCACTTGCCACCATGAAATTTACATCTGTCTGCTGGTTCGATATCGCTCTACGAGCGGCCTGGTCTGCTTGTTCGTTGCCAAAGATACCAACGTGGCTAGGGACCCAAATAAATTCGAGTGATTTACCTTGCTCCGAAATACGATGTATAGCAGACTGTAGCATGATGTTCATCGGATCTGTGTTGTAGATTTTCTTTAGCCCATTTAGGATATTCATACAGTCCGTAACAACTAAAAATCGGTTGTTTTCCATCATTGAACAGTATAGCACAGCCTGCCATAGGGCATACTGCTCTGCAAAGGACCCATCCGTGTACACAGGTTGGTATGAGGGATATTCGTTAAGGAGGTTCTCGTATGCCTGCAGGTAAGTGGGTTGTTTTGTAATCTCTTTTTTGTAGCGCATTAGATCTTTTCTTATTTTTATTTCAGGTACCTTCCACGGGACAGTGTCCAGCATCATTTCATGGAGCGGCGCTGGAGGGACTATTCGGCGTTGCTCGAGATGTTCCTGGAATCTGATACAGGCAGGGCGGGTAATGGTAGGTTTCAGTCTGTACAACTGCATGTCTATGTTGAGTATCACCCTATTAGGATGTAATGGCAATGATGAAATTTTAGTCATATAGCTTGCAATTAGTTGTTTTCTTCTAGTGTCCAAGGCCGGTACTCCCGACTCACAATATAAGCTGTTCGTCGGACTGGTAGGAAAAGCTCCAAGACAGTACCTTATGGCTGTGTTATGTATGCTGTTCAAGGTTGCAAGTGTCGATTTACGTGCGGACGAATACACTATGCAGCCGTAGTCAATTTTCGACAAAATCACAGCCTGGTATATTCTTATGAGGCATTTTGTTTCTGCACCCCACTTGGTGTGCGCCAGTACCTTAATTATATTGAGACGTGTTGTGTTATATACATTTTTTATTCATATTTTAATGTGACTTTGCTTAATATCAATGTTATTGATCTCCTGGCAGCAAATACATTATTATTATTATTATTATTATTTTTTTTTTTTTTTATTTATACAGGCGTCGACTGCTAAGGCCATTTGCCTGTTTACACGGACTTCTATATTTCACAGTACTGTTATAACATGAAAATAATATCACGCCGGTAAGTATATACATCTTCAAATTTCTTTATATAGATCAATATTTTTTAAGTACATGAGCGTTTTTTTAAAATACTTCGTGCGCAAGGCATCTTGTATACTTGTTGGTATTGTAATGTTAGTTCTTGCTGCACTAAATTTTCTGCATTCTAGCAAAACATGCTTTACAGTCAATCGGACATTACAGGTATCGCAAATCGGCCGATTTTGTCCCGTAAGCAGATATTGATGGGTCAATTTAGTGTGACCAATTCGTAATCTCGTAAGCACCACTTGATCTCGCCTCTTCTGTTTACATTATAGCGCAGAAACTCCAATATTTGGTTTAACAATTTTTAAATTTGATTCCTCCCTGTCCCATTCCTTCTGCCATAGATTTACGATGATTTTATGAATTTCTTTTATCTGGTCATCTATAGTTGTTGGGATGCCAGTATCTGTCGCATTTACCATGTTACGTATTGAGACATAAGATACGCTTAACATATTCATTTATAGAGAATATATCTTCAATAGCAGTTATGGCACTTAAGGAATCTGTATATAATCCAATAAGAAAGAAATCCATATAGATAAGTCAACATTGGGATGATACAGTATTATGACCATTATACTAACATTAATGTTACACTGTTCAACCCATATTGCACCTGTATTGTGTTTACAACGTTGCATTCTACAACATAGGCTAAATCCAGATTCGCCATCCACTTCATAATGTTTCCTGCATTATGTGCCGCCAATATAAATCCAATAAGAAAGAAATCCATATATCAGCCTTCCCAGGAAAGAATGCCGGTCACAGAACATTTGATACCGATCTACAATTGTACAATTTACCATGAAAAATATGTCAAATTACTTCCGTAATAATAATACTTTGATTAGAATATATTTCTTAATCAGTGTTATTATTAAGGAAGTAATTTGACATGTTTTTCATGGTAAATTATACGATTGTAAATCGGCATCAAGTGTTCTGTGACCGGCATTCTTTCCTGGGAAGGCTGATATATGGATTTCTTTCTTATTGGATTTATATTGGCGGCACATAATGCAGGAAACATTATGAAGTGGATGGCGAATCTGGATTTAGCCTATGTTGTAGAATGCAACGTTGCAATCACAATACTGGCGAAATATTTGATGAACATTGTAACATCAATGTTCGTATAAACGTAATAGTACTGTATCGCCCCAATGTAGATTTATATATATATATATATATATATTGTTGTGTTATTTTTGTTTTAGTTGTAACTTGAAAGAAATTATAGAGCGTCTGGATGTGACAATTTTGTTTAGTTCAATTAATTAACCGGGGGGGTTATTAATAATTTGAGACACAGGATTGCGTAAATTTCATGTTATAGTTTTGGTTCAATTTCTTAGAAGTGTTCTGTTTTTATTTTATTCCTAGAATTTTTTTCGATGTAAATTTCTTTTTAAATTTTATTTGCCGTTAACGAGGTATAGCGCGAAGTAGAGATAAGGTTCTTCGCAGAATTGCCGGGCGTACGTGCCGTTCAGCAAGAAGTTGAAAAATCGACGCTTCGCGTGATTGGCGGACGGGATGTTGAAGAAAGGAGAAGGGCTTTTGGCTTAAATAGAAAATTTTGAAGAGAGCGGGGCTTTTTGGTCGTTACAAAGCCAACCGGCGCTTCTTCGGTTACGTTATTTTTGAATTTTGTGGAAGTTTTCCTGCGTAGTTGGATCCAGTTTTAATTAGAATTTTGTGTCTGCCGTTTCAAGAAGATTTATTGAGAAGTTTTAAGAAGTTTGTCGTCGTCCTGTTTTTTTTGCTATTTTGCGGAAACACGGAAGTTTTAAATATAATTTGTGGGTACCCGAAGAGAGAAGACGTCGGTGTTTGAGTGGTTGGTTCACGGGTTTGTGTACGGTTTACCTCTGTTTATCGGATTACGTTTTTTCGGACTAATTTTAAATGTAAGTAGTAGTTTAGTGGTTTGTTTTGTCGTGTTTTTTTTGTAATGTTTGAGTAATTTGTTTTTTTTTGTGTGTGTCATTTATTTGTTTAAAATTGTAAAGATTTGTAAAACGGAAATTTACGCAATTTTTTGTTTGAAATTAAACCAGTCATTGCAATCCAGGTTTTGTTTATTAGAGTCAAGGAGAAGTAATTGTCGGCGTCTCTTACTTTGTTTCAAGTTGTTTAAATCTGGGGGTAAAATTTCATATTGGAATTTAAGGATTTGGTTAAGCCACCTATTTATGTCATTGTTGGAATGCTGTAGGGTGGCAGAATCCAGCTGGACCTTGAGATACAGATAAAAATTTTGTTTTCATTTTTTTTTACTACTGAGCTAGCTAGAGGTAAATCGTGGGATTTCCAGAAGTTAAGGTTAGGTCTCACAACAATAATTTGGCGCCCAACGTGGGGCAATTTCAGGGAAACGCGAAAGTAGGTAAAATTTTTTTGTAGGAAAATTCAGATTAGGGGTTCTGTCGTACGGGTAAAATTGATTGTGGTACCCAGACAGTTACTGAGAAAAATTGTAGGATAGGTGGTAACATTTGAAGTAATTGAAGTTTTCTTATAGGATTAGGTACAGGGGGGGTAGGTACAGGTTTGGTAGTAATTAGTAGGGTTTTGATTCAAGAAGAACGTTTAAAGTTGTTAAGAAGAGATGGCGACAACAGGGGATACTGGAATCGATGTCCCAGCAGAAGTTAGCGAGGAGATAATACCTGGTTCAATTGATGTACATGATGAGAAGAAAGAAGAGGTGTCCACGATGGGAGTGTCATCTATTCAGGCAGCGAATTTTGCGGTGTTTATAGAAGCGATAAGAGAGTTGAAGAAGGATTTGGGCGAAGAAATGAAAGCGCAGAATGCGGAATTAAAAGCGGAATTAAAGGAGGAAATCAGACAGGAAGTACGTGGATATATGAGGGAAGTAAACCAGGAAATGGACCAGATAAGGATAGAAATGCATGTACAGGAGAAGAAAAATGATGACAATGCAGCAGAGATTAACAAGTTAAGATCAGACATCCGGGAAAAGGTTAGCGTACTCCACCAGCGTCAGGAGGGGATGAATGAGAGGGTGACTGATGTGGAAAACCAGGTTCGAATGGAGGCAAGTTATACGCAGCAAGAATTCCAGAAAGTGGAGAGGGGTTTCTGTAGATTAGAAAAAGTCGTCCAGGTTCGTCATGAAAACAGTGAGAAAGAATTTAAAGAAATTCGGGAAGAAATGGAAAAAAGGCCGATTCCAGGAGGAGTACATTATGTTGCAAATTTAAAAGGGGATCGGGAACGGCTTGAGAAATTTGACGGCGGGGAAAAAGTCCATCCGATGTTATTTTTGAAGTTACTAGAGGCGACGATCATGAACAATAGGCAGGTATACGGCAGGCAGTTTACCCAGGTAGATGAGTTAAATCTAATAAGAGGTGTCTTGAAGGACGAAGCGCAAGTTTGGTTTGACACTATTGAAGAGAAAATTTCGGATTACGAGACATTTAAAAAGAATTTTTGTAAGCAGTATTGGGGTCAATGGGAGCAGAACAAAGCGGCTGAACGATTAAATTTGGGAAAGTATAACAGGAATTTAGGTAGTCGAGTGAAATACCTAATGGAAAATTATGCGAAATTTAAGCATTTACAAACAGGGATGCCGGAGTCCATTTTAATTAGGAGATTATCAAGACATTATGAAGAGGATGTATCTCAGAAGGTAATTAAGGACGATATCAACACATACGAAGAATTCCTGCGAATATTGAAGAGATTCGATACTGCGGATGAAGAAAAAGACGCAAATTACGATTCGGTCATTCGGGAGCAAGGACGCCAATATGCGAGACAAGGATACATGGATCAGTATCGAGGAAATCGGCGGTTCGGAGAATATGCGGACCAACAATTGGGACAGAGGAATTTCAATAGCAACTACAATTACAACAATTTCAACAAATACAATTCGAATTTTAACAGGAAGTATGAGAAGAACCGGGATTATAATAATAGGAACACTTACGAGGAGGAATACCGGAAAGAGCAGAGGGAGGATCGACGAGAACCGGAACGGGGAGCGCAAGAAAGACGGATGGAATTCGCGAGAGGATCCCGAGAGAACCGGGGAATAACGGAGAAGGAGGGACAGGCAAAAAGGCAGGTGAACCAAATTTTACAGACAAATAAGAATGTTAAGGATGAAGGCGAAATCCAGGTGGTTACAGCCGAGGTACATGCACCGCCGAAGGATTTTTAAGAAGCCGTACTATCGTTAATTATGTGTACTCCCATCCTAGAGAATTTATTAAAGTTGAAGACGGTAGTACGGAAAATAATATGGAGGAAACCTTTTTAACCATTTTACCGCAATTGGACATTAACATTTTAGGAAAAACAGCGGTCGCAATGATTGATACCGGCGCTGAAATCTCGTTAATCTCGGAAAAATTTATTAAAGAAAATCTAGGAAGATTAGAGAAGTTCACGATAATGATAAAGGGGATGAGGGTAACTACGGCAAATCAGAAAAGTTTCGCCTTAAT